AGTACAAAGAAGAGCTACAAAACTGGTACCAGTTTTTAAAAAAATGCCATATGAAAGAAGATTGCAGTTAATGAAATTAACAACACTAGAAGAGCGTCATTTACGAGGAGATTTAATTTTTCAATTTTGGTGGTCAAACTAAAAGTTAACAAAGGCGTACTGTAAGAATAATGCCAGATTTAATTTCTTTTCATGTAGAGTTGTCAAAGCTTGGAATGGTTTACTGCCACATTATAGAATCAATAAAAGTTGATCAATTCAAAAATAAACTTGATAAATCTAACAATTGGAACAATTACTTATTAAATAAAACAAAATAAAGATTATATACATTAAAAAGTAAACAATTCTATGATAAAAACATTTATAGCTGGTACAGCACAACGTCTTCTGTTATTGTGCTCTACAATTGATTTCATCAATTATCACAGAGTATATTATTATTATTATATTATTATTATTATTATATTATTATTATTATTATATTATTATTATTATTATATTCAGGCTGGTTTTCATATATGTAATTGGACCTGCTCTAGCTACCATGCTAGAGCTTCTATACATTTGTTCTCTTTTCTTTAAAAACTACCATGGTCGCTACTTGTCTAGTCTTGTTTCATTATTTAAAATTCCTAATATCATAACTCAAATAACATATGTGTTATTCAGTTAAGCTGCGTTTATTCATAATAACTGTTCCTTTATGATCAAAAACTCTTCTATTCACAATATTTTAAGTCTATCTGTCAATCGTTTTTTCGTTTTTCAACTATTTTTTTGGCTTTCTATTAACTTCAAATTTAAATAATGATTACTTGTAGTTTTAACAGGAGAAAATTTTATTAAAAAAAAAATATATATATATGGGTAATTCCATGTAAAAGTGGGACAAAAAATTTAAATTTTTCAGTCACCCCTTTAGATGTCTTTCAAACTTCAACCAGTGGAACCTATCAATGAAACATGAAAAAATTTAAAGTTTGAGCTTCCAAATCCAAACGGTTCAAAAGTTATGACATTTTGAAATTCAGCCTCAAACAGCTTTTTTTTCCCCGAATCTGCCATTATGGATTTTGTTGATGTACTTTTTAATGAATAATTTATGTTCTAGTGGAAGACTATGGCTAAAAACTGGTACCTGACCATTTTTGAGGGTGCTGAATTCAAAAATATAGAGAAACCGACCCAATTTTTAATTTTTAATGGTCATTTTTTGATTTTAAAATGGTCGGTTGAGTTTTCTGTTTCATCACTGTGGGTTGCGCTTTCACCATCTGTGGGAGTTGCCCAAGTCTCATGGATTTGAGTTTTTGTTCAAATGAAAGTAGAGATCTTGAGCTATTTCAATAAAAAATATGGTTTTGGTCTCTTGAAGCATAATAAAGATATGTCATTTTGAAGTTTAGATAAAAAAATTTCTCATTTGGTCTAAATTCTCTATTATAGATTTTTTAACAATACTTTAAGTGTGAGTAATTGAAATGAAGAAATATGAGTAAAAATTAGTACCTGACCATTTTTGAAGGTGCTGAATTCAAATATGAAAAGAAAATAACCAAAATCAAAATATTTGATAATCTTTTTTTATTTTAAAATGGTAAGTCAAGTATTTTGTTTCCTTGCCATAAACAGGTTAATGCTTTCACTAAACCTTGAATTGCCTGAATCTCATTGATTTAGTTGTGGTTTAGAAAAATAGTTTTTTGAGGTTGGTTAATATGATGTAGAAATATAGTTTTGCTATTTATACATCAGTTATGATGTATAAATATAGTTTTTTGGTGCCAGTTATGATGTATAAATATTGTTTTGAAATGCCAGTTATAATGCATAAAATTGTTTTAATTTTAGATTAATTAATTATTGATTCTTATTTGGTTTCTCAGTCATGATAAATAATCAACAGTGCTCTATTGGAATAAATCTAGAAAGTGAATGTCATCTCACAACATATACACCGCTGCTTGGAATCGAATATTTTGAAGATATTCCTGATTATGAAAGAGAAATATTAATGTGGAGGACTGGGCTATCAATAATCAATGTTAAATCAACAACTTGCCTCCATCATAAACATGTTTATTTGAAGCGTTATGCAACTAAACTAACACGTTGCTGCAACCCATTTAATATCCATAACAAAGTTAAAAAAGGTATTTTTAGTAGCGACACCTTTTCATTTCTCAAATTTACAATGTGAAAGTGTTGAGAATTACAATAATGAAATAATGAAAAGGTACACATTCTGTTTGTGTGTGTACAATACATCAAAATGTTAAATTGATGTTAAGTGCTGTAGGCCTAGAAATGTCTTACCATGAAATCATTGAAATGATTGTATGCAGTAGAAAATCAAAAGTTTGCATGATTCACCGATGCAATAGTTGTCCTGGCATACAAGCTGCCCAAAATTTTTTACAACAGTATCTTACACAAAATGATGACCCAGAAGAGCAATATGACAGTGATGAAAATGAACAGTCCGTGGATTTCAAACAGTGGGCAACAACAGATAGAACTGAACTATTAACAATAAACCTACCATTAAATGAATTTATAGATCTGCTGTGTGAAAAGCTTGATAAAATTACTTGTCATTCATTTATTGCAAAATCACAATCTAGCTATCTCAAGCATCTCAAGGAAACACTTAATATTGATGAGGCAATTGTCCTGGTAGATTTTGCAGAGAATTACACTTTTGTAGTACAAGACGAGGTACAGAGTTACCATTGGAGCAAGAGTCAGTGTTCTCTACATCCAGTTGTCATCTATTACAAGAAAATGAAGTTGGAAACATCATCTTTTTGCATAATTTCAGATGATTTGAATCATGATGTTGGATTTATTAATGAAGTTATGCATAAAACCATAAATCATATAAAAGCTAATATTTGTCCCACAATTACAAAAATTCATTATTTTTCTGATGGTTGTGTAGGGCAGTATAAGAACTGCAAACATTTTTACAAATTATGTCACCACTCTAAAGATTTTTCTCTTAGTTGCATCTGGAATTTCTTTGCAACAAGCCATGGTAAATCTCCATGCGATGGAATAGGTGGCACTGTAAAAAGGCTTGTTGCCACTGCTAGCTTGCAGAGTCCAAACACAGGTCAAATACTGTCCGCTCAAGCAATGTTTGAATACTGTCAAAAGTCAATCAGTGGAATTATGTTTATGTACATCACTGCTGAAGAAATGGAGTTTGCACGAAACAAACTTACTGATAGACTTTTAACAGCAACCACTGTTCCTGGGACAAGAAGTTTTCATCAATTTGTACCTTCTTCTCTTTCAAATATAAAGATGAAAAGGGTGTCTGATGATGCTGATTTTGCTCTAACATTTGACTTTCTCAATAAACAAAAATTTGAAACTATTAAGATTGATTATGTTATGATATCACAATACCTGTTTTGCAAATATGACGAATTTTACTGGCTTGGTATGGTTTCTGAAATTGATAAAGAGAATGATGATTTTTTAGTAAAGTTCATCCACATTATCCAAGTCGGTCGTACTACTGGCCAAACCGGGATGATAATTGCTGGGTGCCAAGAATGAACATCATTTCTTTTGTTAAAACACCATCAACATCTTCTGGGCGTCAGTACCACATCTCAAAAGAAGATGAAACTCTATTTAAACAGCTTTTATGTTGTCAATGAAAGTTTATTAGTATTTCACTTTTATTTTTTTATTTTTTTTTTTTATTTACACTTTTTGCCAATAAGAAAAATAAAAAATTAACAGCCGTAACTCATAAAAAAATAATTACATGACCGGAGCTAGAAGAAGACAAATTTAGCCTTATCACCATGCCCCAAATTCATTAGTTAAACAAATTATTTGTAAAATTATAAAAACTTCAATTTTTGTAACATTTGCTTATTTCTTTTCATTGTTCTTGTTGAGTTCCTTTTTCCCAACAAAGGAGATATTTTACTCCTTTACAAAAACATTTTTTTTTGTAAAGGAGTATGAAGCACATTTGAAAATGCAGCATAAAATTTTCAAAATTATTTTAAATCAATACTTAATTATTAGACATGCTGGTTAAATTACTATAAATGATAAATAAAGAAATTATATTTTCAATGTACTGTAATGCAAATTATATTATCATAAATACTTTAAAAGATATTGAATATACATATGCAAGTTATAAAAAAAAAATTTTTTTTTTCTTTCAGAAACCAAAAATCAGCTCCAAAAATGAGTAAAACATAACCCATGCTAATGAAATAAATAATTTGACTGGCAACATTTTAAAATTATTATTAAACAATTAGAATTGGGTTATTTTCTCTTTATCTTTAGATTCAGCACCTTCAAAAATGGTCAGTTATCAAATTTCAGTCATATTCCTCCACTATAACTTAAATTACTCACACAAAGAGTCCAAAAAAGGAATTTTTTTTGCCTAAATTTCAAAATGACATAGTTTTATTATGCTTCAAGAGACCAAAACCATCTTTTTTATTAAGATAGCCTAAGATGTCCTCTTTCATTTGAAAAAAAAATTGAATCCATGAGACTTGGGCAACTCCAGGAGATAGTAAAAGCGCAACCCATGGTAATAGGACAAAAAAATTGACTGGCCATTTTAAAATCAAAAAATAAACATCAAAAATTTTAAATTTCACAATTATCTCCACATTTTTGAATTCAGTAATCTCAAAAATGGCTGGGTATCAATTTTTAGTCATACTCTTTTACTAGAACTTAAATTATTTATTAAAAAGCACAACAACAAAAACCATAATGGCGGACTTGGTTAAAAAAAGGATGTTTTAGGCTAAATTTCAAAATGTCATAACTTTTGAACCGTTTGGATTTGGGTGCTCAAACTTTACATTTTTTCATGTTTCATTAATAGGTACCAGTGGTAAAAATTTAAAGAAAATCTGAGGGGTGACAGAAATGACTGTCCCACTTTTACATGGAATTACCCATATATATATATATACATATATATATATTCAATATTTTACCTGCAAATTAGAATTTTGAGAATAATATCCATAAGATCCATAAGGTCCATAAGATCCATATGCATAAGGGTTGACTGGATTATTATGAGGAATGTAACCCATCCATTGATTAGGAATGTAACATGGTTGTTGGTAACCAAAGTAACTAAAATTAATTTAATATTTTATAAATTTAAAATATAAAAAGATATTTAGCATATTATATATATATAAAGCATGCATTAAATAACTCACTGACCTTGCATAATAAGAAGCAGTTTGCTGCTCATAGATATTTGCCTTTCGTTTGATTTGTTTTTTATCATCTTTTTTAAGAAATATAGTCTCTAGACTTGACATTGACCAATCCAAATTAAATCCATATGTACATTGTTTACATTGAAATGAAGGCAAATCATATTCTCCTTAAAACAAATACAAAACACAATGTAATATCTAGAATGTATAAAAAACTACTTTTGTATGGCTGGGGCATATAAAAGTTTAAAAAAAAAATTTTTTTGGGGGGAAATCTTATTATATTATATTTCTCATTTACTAATTTTTGTAAATGTAAAAATTTTTTTTTTACACTAAAATTAAACACAATTATATTCATTTTTATTTTATTGCATCTTGTTAATCTTCAACAAAATAAAAAAAAATCATGAAAATTTCTTTCTGAAAAAAAACACAACCAAAGATTAATTTGGTAAATAAAAATAAAAAAGCTATTTTATTTTATCCTTACTTTATTTATATGTGCATACATGATAAAATAGAAAGAAGTCAAAAGTGGTGCTTATATTAATAATCATTTTAAGTGTAACCAATGACATACATCTCATAATGTGAATTGTCAATATAACAGAGTTTTTAAAAAAAATGTGATTCCAATCATTGTTTTATGTCTTTAGAATTAAACAAAAATGAAAGAAAACCTTTTATCCCAATAACTTTGCTTGCATTTAAATTAAACTCTTTTAACATGCTCTATCTGGGAAAAAAAAAAAGCTTATTTAACTTTTATGTCACACCTGTCTAGTTTTAAAAGAAATCTGTTTTTCTAAATCTTGTTTCTGTTTGACTAAATGTTTTTACTTTTTCATTTGTATGTAATCACTACTTACTATTGAGTGCATTTGTTTGTAATCACTACTTACAATCGGGTACATTTATATGTAATCACTACTTACAATTGATTAGATTAAAGATTATTAATAAAGATGAGAGATTATTGATCACTTTCTGAAATTATTTTTCACATTTCAGAAAAAGATTTAAATTAAAAATATATATTTTTAATTTTATTTTTAATACACTATAATACACTAACATTGAAAGTTCAATATTATACACAACTTTTTAAAAGACTTTATTGAGCTATAATAGGTTGCTTTATCTTGATTGACAATGTTAAAAAAATATAACTTTTTCTTAGTCAATACTAATATGAAACTAATAATAATAATAATAACAATAATAATAATAGCAATAATAATAATAATAATAATAATAATAATAATAATAATAATAATAATAATAATAATAATAATAATAATAATAATAATAATAATAATAATAATATATATATATATATATATATATATATATATATATATATATATATATATATATATATGTGTTAAAACATTTTGTTATAAAAATAAAAAAAGTTTGGTATTAAACTTAAATTAACCTTAGTAATTCTAAAAAAATCTTTGTAACATTAAAAAAAAAATTTAACAATAATTTTTCTCTCTCTTTTTTTCAAAACAAGATAAATATTTTTAAAAAAGTGTCAATATCCATTTTATCAAAATCCAAAAATCACGGTGACTAATAAAACTCATTAAAAAAATCTTGATAAAAATGAGTCCAACCGAATATGTTGATGTCATTGTGCTGTTGAAACTAAAAAAAAAGAAAACTTAAAACTAAAAAAAATAAATAATATACACAATGATGCAAACCTTTCTTTACTTTTTTAGCGTTTTCTTCTTTGAGAAGCTTTGTTAAAAGAGGTGGAAGTTCTTCTTCCTTAAGATCATCATCTTGAATAATAATGTAAACAACATTTGTTGATTTGCAATAAGGGCAAGCTCCATCACTAGAAACAGGAAAATCAGCAGCAGTGAAAGCTGGTTTTTTAACTTCTTTTGCAATATATAGAGAAGGAAGTTTTAAAATATGAGTTGGGGTTTTAATTGGGACTGTTTTTGATTTGTTTTCTCTTCTTAAAATGTCTCGTGCAGCTGCACCAGCATTTGTAAGCATATCTCGTGCAGCTGAACCAGCAGTTGTTAAGCTTGATGAAGGACAAGATACTATTTCGCTATCAACTAATGAATTTGTTGCTATTGCTGTATCCACCAATAAATTAGTTGCAGCTGCAACATTCTTAACATTCTTAGATTCCTCTTGTTCCATTAAAGTATTATTTTCTTCTGCACCCACTGACTTTACCTTCATTTCTCCAGTTATATAATCATTACGTGCCTCTTCTAAAGCTAACATTGTTCGTATAGCAGCTTCTTCATCAACTAAAGAAAAAATTTTTGTTTAATAAAAGAAAAACTATCAAAAAAAAAATTTCTTTTTTTGAAATAGTTACCAAACAATTTGTCACGTTCTTCAACAATTTCATCAAGAACTACCCACATCACTTTGTTTCTATAGTAACTAATATCCACAAGTCCTTCATCGTATTCTTCATCTGAATATTCCGATTGATTTAAATCTTTTTCAATATAATCTTCATCTTCCATGTCTTGTCCTAAAAGGAAAATTGGTTATGAAAAACTGTTCAATAATGATAAACCCAAATTTACAAAAACAAAGAAAATGTGAAACCTGATGTTGTTGAAGTGGAATCATTTTCATCCTTAATAAATATAAAAACTTGATGTTATTAAAACAAACAAAAAATTAAGAAAAGCAAAGATAAGTTGACAAAATGAAATACCTGAGGAATAACAAAATGAAAAACAATTGACAAACCTGAGGAATAACAACTTCAAGCTTATCTTTACTTTCATCAGAGTATAAATAAATCTTTTCAAGATCTGTTTTTCCCCAATTAATATTAAATCCACTTTTTGATACATCAGAAGGACATCGACCACTACACAAAAAAGTGGGGGGGTCCTGTAATAAAATTAAAAGGTTAGTTAATAAATTAAAAACAAATCACTCACATTTAAATACAACTTTTGTACCTTACAATTTGTTGCTCCTTTGCTAGACCATAAAATAGCATTTCCTTTAGCCATCAGGTACTGCAATATTTCTGGCATATCTCCAGACAGAAAAAGACTGTAAAAATAAATAAATCAGGTTTAATGCATTAATTGATGAAATGAAATTTTTTGCTTCGAAAAACTTATTTCAAAATGTATAATGTTAAAACTTACTTTCAAAATAAAGTATCTTTATAATATATCCACCTGATTTTGAAATTTGTTGCAAAAACATCTGAATCACACTATAAATATTGTAATGGTATCCTCTTTTTTTTTTCTGTTAATTTTTAAGTCATTATTTCTATTCTGCAATTTGTTAAGAATTAAAAAGAGGGAAAAATTATGACTATTAAATTACTATTACACACATAGATTAATAATGGAAGTATAAAGAAAAATTAGGAGAAAAATTTAAAGAGAAGATTTTGTTTAGAATTAAAAGTAAAAAGAGTTTAATTATTTTTTAAATTACTAATTATTTAAAAAAAGTAATTTCTTACTAATTTCTTTTTTTGTTTTTAACTTTTTTGTTTTGTTTCTAACTTCTTTTTTTGATTCTAACTAACTTCTTTTTTGTTTTTAACTAACTTCCAAATAAACAATCTATGGAACTATATTTTTTTGCTGCTATTAATGTATTTAGATATCAATTTAATCTTATTATGTAAAAGAAAATATCTGATAGAGATTGTTACACAGATTATTGTACAGAATCTATAAACATTTCTTTATTTGAAGAAGCAGATGTATTAGTAAATAATGTATTTGCTCGGTATGGCTAACCAAAAAAAAGCAAAGGCTTTAAAGACTATTGTAGATTATACTGCATTGAAAGTATCTATTCCATTTTTAATCATGAATAAACTAGTTAAAATAAAATTACTGAAAATTCAAACCATAAAAATGATTTATTTAAATTTTGAATGTTATTCAACTTGGTAAACTTGAAAAATGGGTAAACCTAATTTATGACTTTATTATTTTGCCCAGGCTTAGGATCAGATTTTATTCCCAGGACTATACTTTCATGAAAGGCACTTTTTTAGCACGTGAAACATAACACAACTTTATTTTGAAATGTTAGCTGCATTCTTTTTTAGCAAATATAATTTAACAACTATTTAAGCATAAAATATGAAAAACTTATAATAATAAATTCAAAAATTTACATAAGACTAGGAGTCACTCATATAGTTAAAATTTATTGAGTAACACCTAGAAATTAATAATAATAGTAATAATATGCATTAAATAACATTATATATTATAAATATAATGAAAACTATAAACAAATAAAAAGATAATAATGAAAATAACTAGAATATATTTTATAAATTATAATAATTATTAAAAAAAAAATAGCAAAAAGAAGTATGATAATTAATATTAAAGCTATTACAGAATCTTACTAAAAAGATATATAAGTAAAAAGATATTAAAATTAGTAATAAAAATAATAATAGTTTTATAACTACTTTTATTTACTGCTAACTTATTATGTAACAACATAATATTATTACATAACAACATAATGAAAAAATAACAGATAATGTATGTTAATTATATCTGCTATTTTGGTGTTAGTTTTTGTCGAGAAATATCTCAAGATTTTTACATTCAAATTCTCACACAATCAAATTTATTTTTTTAGTGAGTGAAAACAATGTATTCAGTTTTACTGATATTTAGAGAAATAAATACAGTTTCTATTAAGTTAATAACACAAATGACAGTGATAACTTTCACAACATAAAAGATTAAAACATCTTAATAGGCATTAAATTTATTCATATGACAAAATAAAGGTAATGATATTTAACTTGTGCAATACAGAAATATTCCATAAAACATTAAACATACATTCACAGACATATATATATATATATATATATATATATATATATATATATATATATATATATATATATATATATATATATATATATATATATATATATATATCAGCATTGAAAACAAGAAATTGAAGGCAAGCGGCCTTCAACTGCTCAACTTCAACTTCAAAGAAAGCCTATTCATACTAAAATTTTCTTAATATATACATAATTTTTCAAAAATCTTGTCATAGAAAAAAAGCGCAAACATGCTTATTTTAGTAATTTCAAATTTATCTATAAATTATTCTTTTCAATAAGTGAATTGCATTTACTTATTGCAATTTATAGTAAAAACTTATTAGAAAGTCAATAAAAAGATTAAAGAAATACAAAAACTAAGTTAAATGAAAAAACGTTTTTAGTAAAATACAGGAATTATTATATATTATCATTAAAATAATATGTTAAATATTTTTATAAAAATAATAATAAAATAAGAAATTCAATCATTTTAATCATGAAAAAGGATTCTCACCACCAATGTAAGTAATCTAAATAAGTGGAGTAAAAAAAAAAAAAAGTTTTACCATTCGTTTTTTTGTCAACAAAAGCAAAATAAAGTAGCATATTGTAAACAATAACACTATTTTTAGCACTTTTTCATTCAATGAAATTCTAGAATATGCAATTTGAAAAAGTACATCCTATTTATTTGTCAAACCTTGTTTTTTAAACTGCTGATTTTTTTTCAACATGACGGTTAAACATGACCAGCCAGGATTGGGAGGTCCATTTTGGGAGGTCAAAATAGCAATTTTGTCAATTTTGGGCGGTTGTTGACCGACTATTATTTTCTATGCTGATATATACATACATACATACATACATACATACATACATACATAAATATATATATATATATATATATATATATATATATATATATATATATATATATATATATATATATATATATATATATATATATATATATATATATATATATATATATATATATATATGTATGTATGTATGTATGTATGTATGTATTATATATATATATATATATATATATATTAGGGTGTCCCAAAAAACAATAATTTTGAAAATAATCTGCTCTCACCCCCTAAATGTGTTCTATCTAATACAAAAACACTAGGTTTAAATTTTTTTTGAATAAAAATATTTTAAGGGGTCCCTCAAGACCCTCGAATATTTAATGGATCCCTAATATTTTTGAAAAAAGTTTTTCAAATATGTCAACCTGGTACTCAAATGAAGCAAAATTATATAAATATTTCAAAAATAATATTCATTTCGAAATATTTTTAACTTATTTATCAAAATTATCATAAAAAAACATTAGAAATGCATTTTTTTCATTTCTTCTTAAAATACGCAATTTTTTATGTAATAAAACCAAAACTAACAATTTTGTTTCGAAATGAATATTATTTTTAAAATTTTTATATAATTTCGCTTCATTTGAGTACCAGGTTGACATATTTTTGAAAAACTTTTTTTTCAAAAATATTAGGGACCCATTAAATATTCGAGGGTTTTGAGGGACCCCTTAAAATATTTTTTATTCAAAAAAAATTTAAACCTAGTGTTTTTGTATTAGATAGAACACATTTAGGGGGTGAGAGCAGATTATTTTCAAAAATATTGTTTTTTGGGACACCCTAATATATATATATATATATATATATATATATATATATATATATATATATATATATATATATATATAGAGAGAGAGAGAGAGAGAGAGAGAGAGAGAGAGAGAGAGAGAGTTATATATAAGAATTATGTTATCACAAAATTACTTAAATACTTACAAATCTAAAATCACAAAAACATTCTTCTTAAAAGAACATTTTGGACAAGAACCATCATTTGAAATTTTGTACTTCTTTCCTCTCATTTCTAATCCTTTTACTCGATTAAACAATTCTATACTAAAAAAAATATATATATTATTAAATAAACTTTTTAACTCTAAACATCTTTTACAAGTAATTTCAAATAAACAATTTTTTTAAAACAATAATTTTTAAAGCTTAAATTAAAACTTGTGCAAAGCAAAAAATAATATTATTATAACATATAAACTTAAAAAACTTTTTTATCTTTAACTAATATTTTTTCTTTCTTTTTGTTTATTACAAAACCTACCACCCTGTAGTAATAAAAAAAAGCTCACCAATATTCTCAGTTATAGCAATATGTTTTAGACCAAACCCTACTTAAAAACAGCAGAGTAATTTAAATGATGTAATGCAAGTTAAATGTTGAGATATTTGTTATGAAATTTGTTATGAAGGCCATCGCTCTTGACATTTCTAAAGCGTTTGATAAAGTTTGGCATGCTGGTCTTCTCCATAAGCTTTCTTCTTACGGTGTATCTGGAAACATCTTCAAGATTATTGAATCCTTTCTTTCCAATCGAAGTATAAAAGTTGTCCTTGATGGACAGCACTCTTCTTCTTATTCTGTAACCTCAGGGGTTCCCCAAGGTTCAATCCTTGGCCCTATACTCTTTTTAATTTATATTAACGATCTTCCAGATATTCTCACATCTAAGGTGCCATTGTTCGCTGATGATACTACCATTTATTCTTGTCATGATAAGAAGCCAACTCCCTCTGATTGCTTGCAGGGGGTATCTGAGCTTGAAAAGGATATCACTTCTGCTACAGAGCATGGGGCTCACAGTGGCTGGTGAACTTTAATTCAGATAAAACTCAATTTTTTTGGGCCAATCGTTATTGCAATAATTTAGACCTTCTTATATTTATGAACGGTAAAGTACTCGATGAGTCTCCTATCCTTCATCTTCTAGGATTCACTCTTACTTCTGATCTTTCTTGGAAACCTTATATCAAATCCGTTGCAAAATTAGCATCTACTAAAGTTGCTTCTCTTTATCGAGCTCATCACTTTCTTACTCTGGATTCTATTCTCTATCTCTATAAATCTCAAATCTGGCCTTGTATGGAATACTATTGCCATATCTGGGATGGATCTTCTAATGATGCCCTTTCTTTTTTAGACAAGGTGCAAAAAAGCATTGTAAATATAGTTGGACCTACTCTTGCAGCCAACCTTCAACCTCTGTCACATCGTCGTAATGTTGCTTCTCTTTCTCTTTTCTACAAATACTATAATGGGCACTGCTCTAAAGAGCTAGCGTCTCTTGTGTCATCTACTAAAATTCATTCTCGTGTTACTCGTCATTCAATTAAGTCTCATCATTTTTCTGTTACTGTTCCTAAGTGTTCCAAAAACTCTTATTTGTCTAGTTTTTTTCCTCGAACATCAGTTCTTTGGAATTCACTTCCTTCATCTTGCTTTCCTGATTCATATAATTTGCAATCTTTTAAGTCGTCTGTCAATCATTATCTTGCTCTACAATCTTCATCTTTTCTCTTCCAGTAACTTCCAACACTAATTAGTGGTTGCTTGCAGCCTTGTTGGAAGCGAAGATATTTAAAAAAAAAAAAAAAAAAATTCTGTTTAAAGTTTTGACTTGATTTGCACAAATCTGTTTAAAAAATCGAAACATTTACTTTTATTTGTTACTGATTTTTTTTTTTTTTACTTAAAGCAGTCTTCTCCATTTGGCAAACACTTTCGTGTTCGTGCAGTTTTGCGCTCACCCACAAGCCTGCCAATACTATGGCTGGCGCTTTTTTAAGCATTCGCCAAAAAATTTCAAGCGTGTTAAAAAATTGCAATAAATCTTTTTTTTAACCAAATTCTAATTAAAGAGGTAAAAAAACAAATACTTTTTAAAATTGCGCATGTTGGACAAATAATTACTGTCCGGCCAACGCTTTTTCGTGCGCTGGCAGTAAATTATAAACAGAGAAGACTGTTTTTAAATACTTCAATATTAATCAGTTACTAGTGTGCTTTTTAATTCTTAAGATCAATTTCCATACAATTTTTTTTTTTTAGTTTTTTTTTTTTAGAAACAATTTTTTTGATGATAACAAATGAAAATTAATAAACGGGGGGGTGGGGCTTAATGAGCTTAGGATGGATGGGAAAATTTTCTAAAAATTAATCAATAAACATCTGCCCCTACCCAATTCTATTAAGTACTCGAGAGTACATATATATATATATATATATATATATATATATATATATATATATATATATATATATATATATATATATATATATATATATTTGTGTTCTGTCGTGACCTCAGGCAAAGTACTTGTTCACCCACAAGTTACTTTAAATGCATGTTTGTGTTTAGTAACCAGAAGCTCCTTGTATGTTTATTTCATAATTAGTTTTGTTAACTATGATAATTATTAATAATTTTATTGAAAATGTTGAAAGTCTATTTGTTTAAAAAATAAATCGTAAAAATTGCTTTAAAAGATTACATTAGAATTTTAAAAAAAATACACGAAATTAAATTTACATAAAAAAGACATACTTTTCATTTGACACAGTTTTTATTTGTCAAGTAAATATATAGACACTGTATATACATAACAATGTTCATGATTTAGTATTTGATATTGGTACTTTATAGTAGCAATATTTAGTTTTTACCTTATGGCTAGCAATACACTATAAGCCTTTTAAAAACACTTACTGATTCAGTAGGTCAGTAGTTTGTCGCATTGATTATTACATTTTAACTATTAAAAGTAAATTGATTATTACATTTTTATTGTTAGTGAAAGCAAAACACATTTGCATGAAAAATGTTATCATTTAACTTAAATTTTTGTTAGATTGTATAATAAGTACTGGTTTCTATCAGCATTTGGTAACTAAATTAAAATTGTTTTAAAATTTTTTGTCAAAATTATAAAAAACAATGACAATAAATGTAATAGTTGTAAAGAAAATTGTTTTTAATATTTTTTTTAAGAAAAAACTTAAATTTTTGATTTAATAACTGAAGTTTAATAACATTTAATCGTAAAACTTAAACAAATAAAAATAGTATAACCAAATGAAAATAGTTAAAAACAGTTTTTAATATTTTTAGTAAATCATGTGAATTAATATATGGATAAAATAAATTTTTGGTAATCAATAGCAATATGAAATACTGCAATATGTACATGATATAAACAAAGTTGTTGTATTAAAATAAATTCACATTGTTAATGCGTTTTTAATAGTAAACAAAAACAATTTTTTAACACTAACTCAAATAAAATTAAAAAATATATGAATAAAAATATGAATATCCTTTGCGCCTTAGATCACGTGAAGTACATTCATACTTTAAAAAAATTTTATTTTGAATATAATATAATATTTAACCAGCACAACAATTGGCAGTGATTGTACCCCAAACAAGATTGACAAAAACCCAGCCTAGTGGAGTATTTTGGAGTAATTTTGGTTTTTTTTTTTTTTTAAAATCTGTTAAAACTTTTTTGTTTGTTTGTTTAATATTGAAAATTAATATAACTTTCTACCTTAACTAATTTAAAATATATTTTCTATAATGTTATTTAATAATTTTTAACAAGAATTTTCCAAATTATTTTCAAAAATATTTTAAAAATTAATTTAAAAGTGTAAAATTAAAAAATATATTTCATGTTAAACCTATTGAATTGATTCATTTTAGATATAAAAATATTTTTTTTAAATTAACAATGCCAATGGGAAGCGAGAGAAAAAAGGCTGGAGAATACAAAGAACTAATTGAAGTTGAAAAGAGTACAAAGGTTTCTTGTGTCATGCTTTGCTTTGCAACAAGATAAAACAAGATAGAGTAAAACCCCATTTAAAACATTGCCAATAGAACTTTCTACACAGGTGACAATTTAATTTTTAAAAAAATTTGAATAAAAATTGTGATGTATTTTAAAATAATAATTGAATTATTAGTTTATCTGCTTTGATAGCTGGACTATAATTTCAAGATGGAACATGTTCATAGCATCTGTTAGTTCTATAAGTTTGCCAACACCTTGTAAGAAACTACGGTTGATGTACACAATATCAAATCCTTGTAAAAAACTACGGTTGATGTACACAATATCAAATCCTTGTAAGAAACTATGGTTGATGTACACAATATCAAATCCTTGTAAGAAACTACGGTTGATGTACACAATATCAAATCACAATATTAACTATGATCTGATTGTGCATACAACAAATTCTAAACTTTTATGCATTACTGATTTTGCATAAAACAAAAAAATAGCCACGTATTGTACTAAACTTCTTTGTAATGTCATTAAAGATCTTATGAAAAACATACAACAAAGAAGTATTTGCTGTGGTAACGTATAATGAAAATAAGATGAGAAAAATGAGGGCTTTAATCAAAGAAACATATCAAAATCTTTTATCATAGGTGTTCTGCACATTATTTAAATCTTTCAGAAAAGGAAGTAACACCCAGATACCATTAAGCATGCGGCTTAAGCGCAGAAATATTTTTGAAATACACACCAATATATCCAATACCAAGCTCCCAAGTTGACAGTATAGAAATATAATAATAATAATGTTAACTGTACATATAAAAAAAATATGTGAGTCACTCAACTGTAGTTGCATGTAAATATAACAGTAAATGAAAAATACTAATGAAATTGGTGATATAATAAAATAACAATCCAATTTTTATTTGGAATTATCCTTCTCATGTTCCTCGAGTTTTTTTTAAAAGTATTTAAATTAACAGAGTTAACAACGTCAACTCTGTTAATTTAAATACTTTTAAAAATAAACAACGTTAACAACTGTTCCATTTATTAACAATTCTATTAGTAAAGTAATGGGTTCTTGTTTCAGAAATACAAACATTTTGTTTGTGCAACCATTGATTATGACCTCTTAATTTTGGATATAAGTTGTTTATTGGGGGGTATCTCTAATTTACTTTATGAATGTCATTTTAAATTTTATAATATTCAATTATATCACTCCGTTCTCTTCATTTCTCTAATGACGTCAA